CTGCGACTGTTACGTAGTATTATTGTTACCACTATTACTACTATTATTACTACTGCTACTACTACTACTACTACTACTACTACTGCTACTACTACTACTACTACTACTACTGCTACTACCATTACTACCACCATTACTCCTGCTGCGACTGTTACGTAGTATTATTGTTACCACTATTACTACTACTATTACTATTGCTACTACTACTACTACTACTACTACTACTGCTACTACTACTACTACTACTACTCTTACTACTACTACTACTACTACTACTACTACTATAACTACTGCTACTACCACTAATACTATTACTACTCCAGCTGTTGCTGCTGCTACTACTACTGCTGCTGCTGTTGCTGCTGCTGCTGCTACTTCTACCAAAACTACCACTACTACTCCTCCTCCTGCTGCTACTTCTTCTACTACCACCTTGTACTACTACAGCTGCAAACAATACTACGACTTTCATTGCTACTGCGATTCGCCATTCCGCAATCGAAGTTTCTGGTCTTTGTCCTGTCGATTGGAACAGTTTTGAAACCCCCAGATATGACAGACCTCAGTTCTTAGCCCTGATTTTGAGGCCCCGGAGTGGCAGGCACAGCCACCTGCGCCACGGCCTTTAGCGCTTCTTGGGTGAAGCCCTGATGGAACCCTAAACCGTAAATCAGTATAAACTGGTGAGAGGGTTGATTCACTAGTTGCGCGCTTGAGATGACCAGTGCCGCAGGGAAGAGGAAAGGGCGCATATTTTACAGAAAACAGTATGAAGTGGAATCAGTTTACACAACATTCGGAGCCTGTGCCTGTGCGTCATCCCCTGCTTCTGTGCGTTTTTCCAGACAGCTAGGTCTCAGGTCAAGTGCCCAAGTGCAGTCAGAAAGCCCTGGCCCCATTGCTGAGGCTTGCGCTCAAACGCGACCGGCTGTGCCAAAACCTGAATTGGAAGTTTGGGACATAGACTAGCTCAGGGGTTCGTTCTCAAGGTCTGGAGTTTCGGACACCTACACGCTTTCGGACTCCTACACCTTCTT